TCCAGATTCTGACTGTTGGATTGAAGGTTCTTGACAAAGGCTACTCCACTTCTGATCATGTAAAGAAGATAGTCAGAAGTTTACCAAAGAGGTGGAGACCCATGGTCATAGCGTTAAAGCTCTCAAAAGATCTGAACAGAATTACTCTGGAGGAACTCATCAGTTCTTTAAGAAGCCACGAGATAGAGCTTGAAGAAGATGAGTCTCAGAAGAAAGGTAAGTCCATAGCTTTAAAATCCAACAAAAAATCTGAAACTAAAGCTTTTCAGGTATTAGAAGAAAGCTCTGGAGAATCTTCATCCGATGAAGATGAATTATCTTTACCATCCAGAAGAATAAATCAACTCTTGAAGCACAAGCAAAAGAAGTTCAGAAAATTTAAAAGACCAGAACACCATGGAGAATCCTCTAGTCACAGAAGATCTAGCAAAAAGGAAGTAGTATGCTATGAATGCAAAGAGCCAGAACACTACAAGAATGGTTGTCCCAAACATCAGAAGGATAAACCCAAGAAGAAGTTTGAGAAGAAAAAGAAAGTCATGATAGCTACTTGGGATGACTCAAAAAATCTACTGTAAAAAATTAGATATTTGTTTAAGAACTTAATAAACAGGTTTGTTAAAATAAAATAAAATAAAATAAAACATTAATAAAAATAATAAAATGAAATAGCATATAATTTATAAAAAAAACTAAAATAAATAGGTTTGATTAATAATATAATTATCTAATTAAATTGAAATAAAATAGGAAGAAAAACACATAATTGGACCGGTATCGAAGTGTTCAAAAAAATAAAATGAATGTACCAAAATGATCAGTGCGAAATATGCGTATTGGAAAGATACATCGTTTGGTCAAAGTTTGAAATAAATTTTACCCGGTTAAATGGCTTAAACTGTCCAAAAATGCGACCGAAAAGTGGTCGAAAAAATTAAATGAGCATACCAAGTTAAACTATGCGAAACATAGATTAATATCACTGACGTATGTAGACTCGATTTTAAAATTTTTCGTCAACTGATTTTACGCACAATTGACTTTTGGTTTGACAGATTCGGCTGTAATTCGGACAAGTTTATTTCATCTGATAAATTGGGTATTATGCAAGATGTAAAATGATTGACCTAAGATGGTATGTAAAAGATCAAAGAATCTGAGGGTAAAATTTGGGGTATGACACTAGCTCCCTTAGGATTTCAACTCTTACACATTTACAATTCAATTCCCATTCTCTCGTGAGAGAATTAAACACTAATCATTTCTAGTCGAGATATAATTATCCTACCCCATGACGTAGTCGAGAAAGATGTAGATTCTTTTCCGCTCGAGAGAGGTATGTGGCATACTCGTCGATTCTATATCCGAGTTGGAGCCCTTCTTTCAATGCGAAGCAAGGAACCATATTCTACATGTTCGTGGCTGTTTAAATCGAGTATTCTCCATGAGATGACAATCTATCTCTTATCCTGAAACCAATCTACAAACTTTCACCCTTATTTAGGAGAACTACGAATGCTCTGATTCCATTCCCCTCAGGATACGTAGACAGAAGATGCGATGTCTTGGTTAGCATACTTAGTATAACACCTTAGGACTCCCTTTTTACCTTTTCACCCTTTAGCAGATAAAATAACAAATAAACACAATAAAATAAGAGGTTCCTGTAGAGTACTATAGATAATTAGGATTTTAGCACCTTCCCTAGGTATAACCAACCTCCAAACCTTAGATTCTCTCTTCCATTGCATTGCGTGTTTGGGTTATTCGTTCTTTTTCTCTTCCCTTAGATAAATTAAAGATCGGTGGTGAATTAAGATTTATAATCCAAGTTAATCAATAGCTTGATATCCGATTCTCACTGTGACAACGCCCTTATAAGAAAAGGAATTCCATAGTTAAAGGCTCCGCCGAGGAGTTCCTCGCAGTAGAAGGTGTTGGAACTAAATCTCCCAGGATCTTGTCGAGGGTAGAACTCCGGCTCGAGCTCGTATTGATGAGGTGCTCAAACTTTCTCTTTTTAACCCCACGGTCACCTTGTTGAACCCTCGTCCTGATATGACCATGGGGGAGGGGAAGGTTTCCTAGGGGCTATGTGTGGTAAAGTAAAGAGGAACATTGAGCCCATCGGAGACATAGAAATTTTCTGGTCGTGAGATGCTCATGGCGACCTAAAGGCTGATGTCGTCCAAGGATGGTACTTCTTCAACCTTCTTCGATTCCTGGGCCTCCTGTCGAGGAACATCTTTCTTATTCGTAAAATGCTTTAGGTGCCCGTCCCTGATCAAGATCTCAATTGCATCCTTGAGATGGATGCAGTCGTCCGTCATGTAACCATGACTCTTATAGAACCGACAATACTTTATTTTATCCGTGTTCGGTTTGGCAGGTATCTGCTTTGGGAAACGGACCCCTGCCTTCCGAAACTCCGAGTTCACGCATTTGGAGAGAATCTTCTCGTGCGTGGTCAACGATGTATACTCGTGGAAACTGCCAGATGGCCCTTTGTGATCTTGGGGTTCTCGGGAGCGGTCATCTCTTCTTTTTTCTGCTCCCCGACAAGTTGACGAGGAGTCTTCGTGTTTTGAGGACCTGACGTTCTCTTGCTGCCTTGAATCTTGGGCAGTGTTTATTGCTTCCCTTTCTTCATACTGGATATACGCCCGAGCTTTGAGGAGGAGGGCTTCTAGTGTTGTTGGGGTTTCAATGCCAACTGCTTTGGTAAAGTCGCTGCAGGGATGGAGCCTTCATTCGAGCAAATGTTTTTTCATGCCATCAGTCATGGAGACCTGAACGACTTCTTTATTGAATCTTTTAATGTATGCTCGAAGAGATTCGTATTTTTCTTGAATGAGAGCCTTGAGGGAGGATTTTGTCTTCAGATGACAGCGAGAGGCCGTAAAATGTCTCAAGAACATCCTCCCTAACTGCCTCCATGAGGTGATGGATTCGTAGGGGTGACTCTTGTACCAGGACATTCCTTCCTTCCCTAGTGTCATCGGGAACAACTTGCATTTGATGGCGCCTCTGATGCCACGGTAGTCGAGCAGGGCATCGATGTTTTCAATGTGCTCGTCGGGATCGGTCGTGCCATCATATGTGCCTAAGTGTGGGGGTTTCTCCAGCCCCTTGAGTAATTGAGTGGCCATGATCTCCTGGGATAATGGGCCTTGAGGCTCGTTGTCATCGTTGTAACTGCTCGACCACAAAGAGAGCATGTGTTTCTGCCAGGGTGAGGACCGCGATCTAGAAGAGGAGAAGGGGTTCGCGATTGACACTTAGGTCTGGGAGGAGGTGAATGTTGGTTTTCTGCTCACGGATCTCTTCTTGTTCTCTTAGCCCCTAAGGAGTGATGGCTCTAGGGAGGAGTGTGGTCGTGTTTCCTCATCGACAGGGATTCTGGCTCCGCTGGCATTTGGCGATTTCTTCTGTGTCGGGGAGAGTGACTCTAAGATCTTCGGTGCTCGCGCCTTGATGGAGGAGATCTTAGACGACAAATCTCTTCCAATGCTCCAATTCTTGCATTCTGTTGGAGGATAAGAAGGTTCGTCTCGTTGAGGGCTTCGACTAGAGCTACCATGACCGGGTCCGTGTTGGGCGAAACTGGGATGGGCTGATGATCCTCTGAGTACTGGATTTCTATGTTGTTGGTGCGATCCGGGGATGGAGACGCGGTGACTCTGTCCCTTAGATGAGGAACATTGTCTCTAAGAAAAGGGTTTGCCCCGTCGTTGTTTGTCTTGTTGCCGGGGGGATGACGGTGTTGCGCGCATCGTTGATGTTATCATGGTTGACCATGATCGGAATCTTGAAAAATTATTTTGATATTTGGTTTTCTAGGAAAGAAAGACGAGGAGAACATGTTTCCCACAAACGGCGCCACTGATCTTTCCGGTTGATCAGTACCTGAAGTGGGGCAGAGACTTCGCCTTCGATGTTGGAATCCAAGGAGGAGAGGGTGTACCTGCAAGACACTCCAATGCTAAAGTAAGAATCGGGAGAGGAAAATGCAAGTACAAAGTAAGAATGTCTTAGGATGATTTTGGAATACCTGACCCTCTAAAAGGAGAGGGTATTTATAATGTCTCCAGCGCTTGGCCATTGATCCCTATTCTCGGGTCGAGATATTCGCTCCCTAAAAATAGGTAACTGCCAGAAACTAGTCGTTGAGACAGGCAGACATGCTCGGAACTAGCTGTTGCTTTGAGCAGAGGCGTGGTTGTGGGTGAGGGCGTCGTGGTCGTTCCTAGATGGTTGAATCGTGCGCGATGGACAGAGATGTGACGAAGGAAAGCTGATCCTGGGGTCAGCTGGCCAGCCCTTATCGGCTGGGAGCAGAAGAAAAAGTGATTTCCTTTACCCTTAATGGGCATGGCTTAGACTATTGAGTCGTTCTAAGGTGCGCAAGTAAATTGGGTTATGCCTAACTATTAGGTCAATCCAAAACACGTTATATTCTTTCTACGTTCATCCTAAGACGACCAGAACAATTTAACCTATTTGTCTCTTTTTTCTTCTTCTTCTTATCTTTGTGTACATATTGAGAAATGAGGCGAGCTCTGTCAACTTTGTGTCAGGACGCGAACCAATTTACCATATTCTACCACATCGATTCCACCATAATTTTTGGGTTTATAAGGTGGTTTGGAGAATAATATAGAATTGAAATGATAAAGAATGAATGGGTTGAATTTTGTTCTCTAACCAAAATTACTAACAATTAACTAGTACTCCTTTTATTTTAAAATGCTTGATTCATTTGAAAAAACCCAAAAATGTCCTTGGCTGTGTTGACAAAAACAAACGGGAGAGCAGAAGTAGAGCGCCAAGGAACCAACCATTGCAGATAAGCACATCCCCACCAACCAACTTAACACGTGTCATCCACACGACTTTTCTTTCTGGATTATTAACATCGTTCATTCATTCATTTATTATTGCATAACAATAACATCAACAACAACTTTATTCAAAACCTTCACATAAGTTTGAGGCACAAGATGGCTTCAGCTACATCTTCTCTATGCTCATCTACCCTCCAATCCCAGATCAATGGACTCTCCCTTCGCAGAACTTCTCTTCTCCATTCCCCTTCTCTCACTTTCTCTAGGTATCTATTTTTCTTCTTAATTTTCAATTCTTGTTACAATTCAACCTCTAGGGTGTTCAATTATGTGTAATTTTCCATTAATTCAATTCTATAACTCTTGGTTTTACTCTTTTGATTTATATGAAGTTCTATAACCTAGATAATTCTTTTTCATCCATAGGTTAAGAAATGGTAAATTCTGAGCTTCATTATATTGGTTAACTTTTTCATGTATTTGTTTGTAGCTTTCATAGGATAATGCAGCTTAAATATCTTTTTTTTTTGTTTTTTCAGGAGAAAATTTTCAACCGTGGTTAAAGCTTCATCTCGTGTGGACAAGTTTTCAAAAAGCGATATCATTGTTTCTCCATCTATTCTTTCCGCTAACTTTGCAAAATTGGGAGAACAGGTTTGATAATATTAACAATTTATTTACATTAATATATAAATATAAATAAATATTAACGTCACAATTGAATCCTAGACCAGCAATTTACACTCGTTTAACTCAACTAGCACATACCATTGAGCTACCGTATCCACTCTATTACCGTGTTTTCATGATTGTCAGCAATCATGACTGTTGGAGTTCTCTTGTTATTTTGCCTAGGTAAAAGCAGTGGAGTTGGCTGGTTGTGATTGGATTCATATTGATGTTATGGACGGTCGCTTTGTTCCAAACATTACAATTGGACCTCTTGTGGTTGATGCATTACGCCCTGTGACAGATTTACCTTTGGATGTACACCTGGTATTCATCTCATACATATATTTAATTAAGCTGATTTGGAATGATGATAACTTTTTCTGACTCTTGTTAAAGCATTGTAGATGATTGTAGAACCAGACCAGCGGGTGCCAGATTTCATCAAAGCAGGAGCTGACATAATCAGTGTTCATTGTGAACAATCTTCCACTATCCATTTGCATCGTGCTGTTAATCAAGTAAGGTTTTCTTCTGAATTATCTCAATTTTGAACAATAGTGCTGCAACTCAGTCTATGTCAAGAATACATTAACCATCACATATATATGAATGTGTAAGACTGAAAAGTTAAGTTATGTCTTAGCCTCTAAATATTATAACAGATAACTCAATTTATATTTGTTTTCAGTTTCCAGTTAAATATATCTGATTATGTTATCTTGATTAGGTGAAAAGCCTGGGAGCTAAAGCTGGAGTTGTCCTAAACCCTGGTACCCCACTAAGTGCGATAGAATACGTTCTTGATGGTGAGCCTTTGCCTTTCTTACTTTGTTTTTTCTGTTTCCATTTATTTTCATTAGATAATAATAATAATAAATTGGAAAAGTAGAGGAGTGTAAATTTTAATTCTGTTTTTCATTTCGGACTGATGTCTATTGTTGAGTTATATTTTTTTTGAAATTCTAAAGTAATTGAAACATAAATTCTCATAATCCTATTATGATGTTGGCAGTGGTTGATTTGGTCTTAATTATGTCTGTAAACCCTGGCTTTGGCGGCCAAAGTTTTATTGAGAGTCAAGTAAAGAAAATTTCTGAGTTGAGAAGATTGTGCGTGGAGAAGGTATGCTGCAATCATTTGTTTGTGTATGTGTGGAATATTAGGTTTTGTGTTTCCGTGTTTATTCTGTACATAATCTCTAATTGGTACCTCTCTCTCTAGGGTGTGAATCCATGGATTGAAGTCGATGGTGGGGTTACCCCAGCAAATGCTTACAAGGTGCTGTATACAATATCGTACCGTCTTCCATCACTTATAATTTAGAATGATCTGTAACAAGTCTTTTTCGTGCTGAACATAATCAGATAATGATCTCAATAATTGTCTTTTTCAAGAGGGTAATCTCAACATAAAACATTGGGAAACAACTGATATTTCACGAGCATCTGGTCACGCACTTAATGTTTAAGAGTTCTATTGGCCAAATGCTCCATATTTTAATCATATCAAATGAGTAATTAATTACAAACAAATAATGAGGGGGAAGCATATACTTTGTTTACTCACTGAATTTGAATGCTTTCTAAAAGGCATAGAAAACCATAGAATCTGTGAGTTTGTAGGGTCCAATTTTCAGTATTATCTTATTTGGCAGGTGATTGAGGCTGGAGCTAATGCACTAGTTGCTGGTTCTGCTGTGTTTGGAGCTAAAGATTATGCTGAAGGTAACTTTTTTTAATCTTGTGAAATTACGAGTTAGAGGCATATATCGTGTAATGCGAGAAAATTTAATGTGATTCTGATATTTGTCATGGTTTCAACTTTCAACTCTCTTGTAGCTATAAAAGGGATCAAAGCTAGCAAAAGACCTGAACCAGTTGCTGTGTGAAATCCCTCCGTGGTAGCCTATCCATTTTAATCCAATGTAAGCTGCATGTTTGCACCATCAAGATTTCTCAATTAAATTTTGACATTTCAGCTTTTCGATTGGGAGGTTGCACTATTGTAATTGGCTGTCAATATAAGAAATAATAAAGTAAAATGATTGCAGAGATTACCTGCAAAATTTAGTTTTAATATGATTGTATCATAATGTTAAACTTGCAACTCCATTTTTGCATGTATCTGACAGATAAATACTCAATACTATTGGAAATTTTACTCTTGGTTGTGTGAAAAACCGAGTTTCTGGAAAAACAAATGTGAAAAATATTATCCTGAGCACGATCTCAATCTAATTCTTGGTTGAATTTTCTGTGTTTGAACCTGACAGACAATGTTCTGGGTAAGTCGGCTTATTAGTCATGGCTTGTTATCACCACCAGCAATTGCTTCTCTATGGAATTAACTAGAAATTGGCCGAGTAATGCTTCTGCTGTGATGCATATTTGTGTATAATCTCTTGGAATATCAGAACATCTTTAATTCAAGATAAAGCAATCTACTGTTTGTATGCTTGTAATTTAAGGTTGTGGTCCACGATACTGTAAAGATGTTTGTGCTTTTTGACATTAAATAAGGGAAAGAAAACCATCTATAATTCATGTGATTTTCATTCCTTTGTGATAAGTGACAATTGTGTCGAAAAGAAACCTCAATACTCCATCGCCAAGTTCTTCCTTTAAGAGGAGAAATCCATAATTTTCAAGAGATTTGACATTGATATGTACCTAGAATTGAGTTCAAACCTAAAACTTTTGATTAAGATGAAAGTTACTATCTCATTCAAGTGTTTTTGAGTTTGACAACTAATTTAATAAAATTTTCCCTTAAAATATCATAACTTGATTTCCGATTCAAAATCAGAGTTAAAATATCTTAATTTGGATACCAATTCAAAATCAGAGTTTCTTACTTAGTCTAGGATCCTAATATTCAAATGTTATCAAATAAATTGAAAAAAAATTCACATTTTAGTCTAGAAAATGTAAAGTTGATTAATTTAGCTCCTCAAACATTTCACCCATTAATATGAAAAATATCAATCAAATTAGTGTCAAATTTGTCCTTAACTCGGTAGACTCTCAAATTGGTCTATGATACTATGAATATTTCAAAAAGATATTACACTCTATTATAATGTCAAGTTGGCGTCTATATCTAACTACTCTCCATCAATTAAATCTTCATATTATACCACTTAAAATCAATTAGGTATCTATATTTAATTAGATATTATAAATCTAGTTTCTAAGTACCGATTTGAATAAAAATTTGACCAAATCTTTCTGAAATATTCATAATTTTTAACATCTATTTGAAATCGTCCAGAGTCAATGACTATTATTTTAAGTGATTATGGATGTTTACTAGCAATATATGGATGTATTGTCCATCTGCTTTTCAAATTTTACTATCAATTTCTCTTTAGAACATGATACTTAAGCATTCACTTTTCTACCAACATAACATTATTGGGACTAGATTACAAAATGAAAATCTCAACTGTACAAAATGAAAGTTTGCATATATATAAACAGCTAATAATACAACATATCTTCCCATAAATATACACTCAAAATAATACCAAGGAAAAAACTACACATTCTGTCTGCAAATAGGACATGAATCATTCTTCACAAGCCATTTATCCACACATATCAAGTGAAATGTATGGTAACAATGAGGTAATCTTCTCGCAACTTCACCTGATTCCATATCCTGTAAATATTCTCAATGTTAACATGATTACTTTAACACTATCATTGAGGTCATTAAATCATCTAAAGAATAATCACCTGTAAACATATTGCACATAAAGTATTCTCTGCCTTCGTGTCCTTCAAGATCCTATGGTGCGGTAGCTTACTCAATGAATCCCCTGACAATCCTCTGGATGCTACTACTAAGCTATGAACATCATGAATCTCGTCATAGCCAACGTTATTAGCAATACCAACCTGTTCAAACTAAAACAAATGATAGCACGTTAAAAACTATATATTGTGCTACAAATGACAGAATAGTGAAATCACAGCACATGATTCATAGACGACTTCTTAAACGGTGAAAATCTGGAAGTAATACTAATAATCATATGGAAGTACAAAACAATCAACGTAGCAAACATTCTCAAAAGTTTGTTTTAGCTGCATGTAAATAAAACTTAAAATGGGGCTAATTTCTGTTTTTTCATCCGGAAGATGCTCAGACAACTGGACAAGAACAAGAAAGATAGTCTGCATTTTGCACACTTTCATATGGTAAAGAAAAAACAAGTGGCATTATTCACTGATCTTGTATGCAAAGTTGGTAACCAGTTGAGTTTTCCATCTCAGATTGGCCATGGCCAACAGCTCTTGATACTGCCAACTAAGATTGCACCATTGAAACTAGACTATTATATGCATCAACCGACACAGATTTATTGTTTTTAAAAGGCAAAAGTTGTGGGAGAGATATAGAGAAGGATTTTACTTGCAAATTGTAAGCAGTTAAAATAGCAGGTGTAAGCGATTCTTCTACAAGCCTTCCACGAACAAGTTCCTCTATGAAATCTGCCTGGATTTAAATGTTAGAGAATTGGTTTAAAATTATGCATTAACACGGTCACTCAAAAAATACACTCTTAAAATTACACGAACGTTCAACGCGTAAAATCTCACGCATATATGCATTTCGAGATCATACAATCACTGTAATTATAAAAAACACAAGGTATATGGAGGAAATACAATCACCAACCATAGAAGATGTTCCTCGTGAACCAGTTTGCTCCATACACCAGTACGCACGGGAAGCTTCCAATACCTCAACCGAGAGTATAGCCCCGGCAATGGCCCCTAAAGAAACTCCCCGAAGAAAACCACTCTTTGTAGCCTTAGCTGCTAAAGCACCAGCAATAGCTCCTGTTAAAGCCCCAGCTGCAATTGAAAAACACAATCCATGAGAATGAAACCAAACAAAAAACAACCTCAAAAGAATAGCTAATAACTAGGTAAAAAAAACATTCAATTCAAAATTCTCCAACTCCAATAAACAAAAAATTCTCATGTTTAAGCTTCAGAATTAAAATAAAATAAAATAAAATTCTATTTCTATTTCTATTTCTACCTAGAAATTAAAAAAAAAAAATGTCAAACTTTAGGGCAACAGAAAAATCTTAAAGAGATTGAAACCCGAAGGAAGAGATTATGGAAAATACCAATGGCAAAGCATGCTGTAAGAGTTCCAGAAATGGCGCATAATAAAAATTTAGAGACAAAACGAAAAACCAAAAGGGGTGTTTCGTTTCGTGCAGTTTCCATGAATATGAGGAAAATAAGGAATAACAAAGTGGCGATGTGGTGTCAGAGACAGTAGAAACGTCGAAGGGCCATGCGAGCGTCGATGGATATAGGTGTAGCAGAAGCTTAATAATTGATTGAGATTGAGATTGAAATTGGAAGGATAAGGAGGAAGATAGATTTTGTGTGAAGAAATTCTACGCCGTCAGCAATGAATGGAAAACGAAAGCTTAATGCGTTGATGGGTCGTTTTCGGGATAATAATCAATCATAAACGCAACGAAAGAAGAGGCAAGAATTAACATTGACTTGAGAACGCAACGCACCCAACTCTTCAATAAATGGAATGCCATTTTAAATGTATAATCCAGCCTATATATATATAATAAATGTCACGCTACCAAATGTGTTACATACCATTTGGGATGGGCTTTTGACTCTTATAAGTTGATTTTTTTCCGCATCTATCTTTATTGGTTTGATCCTTATCTTCAATTTTGATGAATAGATAATAAAATAGAAATATTATACTTGATTAAAAATACGTAATATATATATATATATATATATATATATATATATATATATATATATATATATATATATATATATATATATATATATATATATATATATATATATATATATATATATATATATATATATATATATATATATATATATATATATATATATATATAAAGTAAAATTTATAAAATATACAAAAGTATTTATAATCTATTAAAATATAGAGTTTAAATTGTCATCAATAACCGTCAACAATTCCTTGTATTGTTTTAAAAAATACTAATATTGTGTTATCTCACAGGTTTCTGATAATTTCTCGGCTAGTATATAGATAATGTTGCAGTAATAAAAAGATAACGAATTCATAAGAACTAGTGTTTAACAAAGTAATAATTGTGCAAGTATAAAAAGTAACAATTAGGGGGAGGGGTTTCAAGTTTTAATGGAAAAATAAAAGTTGTTTTAAAATAATGCGAAAGCAATCAGCTTTTGTATAGAATCTCTTATTTATTCCCTATTGATCTTTAATGCATTACATGAGCGAGAAAGTCATTATATTGCCACGACAAATTAATAAAACCACTATACCCAATTCATTGGTGTATAGCTCATTAATTCCTATCGGGTATCCTATTCCTATTCAACCAGTGTAAGTGAAACTAGGCAATGCAATAGGATGTTAACTTAAAGGCCACTACTAGAGGTCTTTTATCCCCATTCAACCAACGTAAGTACAATAATTTCCCTAGTTACAACTAATAGACTAATAGTTAGTATTCCCTATGCGCCGATAATCAGATTAAAATAGTATCTCACATAAAAAACATTAAGCAAAAGAGACAACTAAATAGAAATATAACCCCAATTATTCATGCAATGACAAATTAAACATATGTTCCAACAAATTCAATATAAGTTCATCATACAAAACCTAACTTAGAGAAGTTTAGCTACTCATAACAATAAGATGAAGGTTGCATATGAAGATTCTTGAAGAACTAACCTCCAATGGCTTCCAATGCTCTCAAAATCGCCCTCTTGATACTATTTATCGTCACTTTTTGTCAAAATCTGCATAATCCTTGAAAAGATGCCAAAAACTCTCTTTCGAAGTTGTCAAATCACTCCAAAATGC